ATACTTTCAGGTGCTATTGACAGAGGTATTTACACAGAATAGATAAAAAGTATGGTGAAATATTTTCTTGATATTTTTGATACAGGCAGTAGCACAGAATAAGTCAGGTATTATATATGGATAAACAAACGCACCTCATGTCCTATTACTCTACAGGCCGCGCTCAGGAGATCCAGCAGGCCCTGGAGGAGCGCATCCTGGTCATCGATGGAGCCATGGGAACTATGATTCAGCGGCACAAACTGGAGGAGGAGGACTACAGAGGAGAGGAGTTCAAGGACCACTCCTGCTGTCTCAAGGGCAACAATGACCTTCTCTCTCTCACGAGACCACAGATTATCCTAGGAATTCATAAGGTGACTGAAAATTTGATGCATTGGCTCACTTGTTTCCTTATGGTGATTCTCCTCATTCTGATTGATGTTTATTCTGCATTCCAAATTTGATTTGACAAGGGAGGCCAGTGTTTTATGAAGGTTGATTAGAAATAAAAAAATTTTCCTTTTTTTTTTTTCTTTTCTTTTTTTTTTGTGTGTGTGTGTGTGTGATTAGATGGTGTTGGTATAATGCAGGTCTAATTCTGTTTTTCTTTATGACAGGAATACTTGGAAGCAGGTGCTGATATTATTGAGACAAACACCTTTAGTGGCACAAAAGTAGCTCAGGCTGATTATAAGTTAGAACACATCTGCTATCGGTGAGAAAACAATAATATTTAATATTGTTATTCCTTCTGAATATTTTACCCTATAGGATATAAGGATATCCATATATCTTATATAGAAATTTGTTAAAATAGAATGGAGGATGCCAGCTGCATATAATAATAGAATTATTTCTGTCTTCAAGGCTGAACTTAGAGTCAGCTCGCCTAGCAAGACGTGCAGCGGATGAGGTAACAGCAGCTACTGGGAAGCAGCGCTATGTTGCTGGTGCTTTGGGTCCAACCAATAGGACCTTGTCGATATCACCATCGGTTGAGAGGCCAGACTTCAGGAATATTAGTAAGCTGTTTGTTGAATATTAATACCTCAAAAGAATTGTTAAAAAGATCTAGTGTTCTTTCTGGCTTATCATGGAAGCTATTAAATGTGTTTTGATTATTAAGCCTTTCTAGTCTCTTGCCTTTTTAATATTGTTTATATGATGCATTCTTTGGATAGCAGAATCTCTCAAGCTCTCTTTTTTTCTTATAAGAGAAAAAATTTAAATAAGAACCTTTTATATCAACATGATTTATATTCCAGCCTTTGATGAATTAGTCCACGCCTACTCTGAACAAGCCAAGGGACTGTTGGATGGAGGAGTCGACATCCTGCTAGTGGAAACAGTTTTTGATACTGCGAATGCAAGAGCTGCTCTCTTTGGCATTCAGTCTTTATTTGAGACGGAGTATGATCCTGTACCTGTTTTTGTAAGTTGTTTACATACTTATATTTTTTTTTCTTAAGTGATAAAGCTAAGAAGATGATATAAGTAGTTATAGTTTTTTTGCTGCACCCATTTTAAAGCCAGTGTATGTTATTTTAGGATTTTCAGACATAGAATAATTAATTACGGTACTGGATCTAGAAGTTATTGTCCTTCAGCAAAACATTTCTGGTGAACAATATTTTTGGCAGTGTATGGGGCAAATCTGGTCAAAATAGTGCTTTTTTTTGTAGGTGTGCTTAAACAGTCCTAAACATGTTCACACAAGTACAAATTCATTTAGTCATGGACTCAAGTAGATACTCATCCAGTGTTAGTAGAAAGATAAGGGTATTGCCAAGGGTATAGTGATATGGATTCATTTATATTTTATGTGCTTAATAAGTACTAGTGAGCAATATCATTGTGTAAGATAAAGATGAATTGGTTGTAAAAGATTTTATAATGGATAATACTTATATTCTTTGTAATATTTTGATAAGGAGTAGAGCATTAATCATTTTATTCCAAACTTTCAGGTATCGGGAACTATTGTTGACAAATCTGGAAGAACTCTGTCAGGCCAAATGGGTGAAGCATTTATTATTAGTGTGTCTCATGCACAGCCTATGTGGTAGGTGTCATATGAGGTTAGAAGTAAAATATTTTTGGTATATGTATTTACAGAAGGGAAATGAAATTGATCTCCATTGATGACAGTGATTATGATTGGATTATAGATGATAAGAGTTAATATGTCTGTAGGAATTAGTGATGATTATATGTCTTCTTTCTCTTCAGCATTGGCTTGAACTGTGCTCTTGGTGCTGTTGAAATGAGACCTTTCATCGAGTCCATTGGGCTAAACACCAAGTCATTTGTCATTTGTTACCCAAATGCTGGTCTCCCAAACACATTTGGTGATTATGATGAAACTCCTGAAACCACTGCCAATCACATCAGGGAGTTTGCAAGAGACGGACTTGTCAATGTTGTCGGAGGGTGTTGTGGAACTACACCAGACCATATCAGGTAAGAAATAGTAATATTTACACTTTGTTTAGTCCAAGGAAAACATTAATATATGCTGAGTAATGATATGGAAATTCCCAATTCTGACACAAAGACCTTACAGAAAGGGTCTCCGTCTGCAAGAAGCTACTTTTACAGATTTAAGTGACCTTTTAAGAAATTTTCAAAGTAGTGTAAGTTTTGAAATCTTGAATTGTAGATTTTTTCTATGATCATGTTACATGAAGATAAAAAATGAAGAAAATAAAAATAAACACAGAACCACTTTATGCAGATGGAAACTTTCTAGAGAGAAATCAATACCCTTGTGAGATACTGAAAAAGTGTCTTAAAAAGTGCGTCTTATTAATGTACATAAAGTTGATGGGGACCTTTGAGATGTAAAAAAAATTATGGTAATTTTACTGCTTATATATAAATTGTCTATATATCTTCCTGCTCCCTCCTTCTGTTCCCAGAAAATGATAAGCTTCTCAAGCTTGTGGCAGAAAGTTTATGCGAAAGGGAGTAGAAATGCATACATCTAATACTTGCCAAATTTGACATTTAACCTTGATGAAAGTAGTCGTCCCTTTTAATCAGTGATTCAGCCACTTTTTTTTTTTCTCTCTCTTTTTTTCTACTTCTTCATGAATCAAATATTACAGGGCAATAGCAGAGGTTGTAGCAGACATTCAGCCTCGCATCCCCCCGTCATCTTTGTATGAAGGTGCACTGCAACTGTCAGGGTTGGAGCCCATGAGAGTTACCAAAGAAACCAACTTTGTTAATATTGGTATGTACAGTAATCAGCTTTCAGTGTTATTATCATTATTATTATTATTATTATTATTATTATTATTATTATTATTATCATTATTATCATTATTATTGTTATTATTATTATTATTATTATTATTATTATTATTATTAATATTAATATCAATAAATTTTTCCATTCCCTATTTAGCAAAAGTTGGATTTGAATTGCTCATTTTGTTGCCAAACTAGTGGCATGCTTCTCCCAGAATATAAAGAATATGTGCCCAAACCCCTAGTGCTCTTTCTGTTTACATATAATTTGAAATAAACAGGGAAAGCAAAGTTTATATTTTGCTGCATATGGAACTTAATTATTTTGCAATCTTATGGACCTCAGCAATTTTTATCTCATATTTCAGGTGAAAGGTGCAATGTTGCAGGTTCAAGGAAGTTCTGTAGACTGATTAAGAATAACCAGTATGAAGAAGCACTTGCAATTGCCAAAGCACAGGTATGCACTGTTTAATTTCCAGTAACCTAAGGATGAATGGCTGCAATGAGAACGTTTTGTAGCTTGGTTGAGACACTGATTTCAAAATATGTATAAGTTAGATGTGCAGCTTCTACTTGATTCACCTGACTGCAGATAATGTCTACAAGCCATTATAAAGAAAAGGAAAAAAAATATATATACCTAAAATAATGATAGATCTCATTTCACAGTCAGTATTAAAGGCGATATACTTGACGCAAATTTTTTATTTGGTTACAGGTTGAAAATGGTGCCCAGGTGTTGGACATTAACATGGATGAAGGTTTGTTAGACGGCAAAGCTGCCATGTCTCGCTTCCTTAACCTTATTGCCACAGAGCCTGACATCTGTAAGGTTAGTTTTTATATTGCAATTTATTTATCACTGTTAAATTGCTGGATTATCAATGCAGAGTTACTGAATTAAGTTTAGTAATTAATTTTCCCTGCTTTTTAATTTAAGTGGCTTTTATGTTATATCATGGCTATTTTACATTTTTGGTTCTTTGAAAATATATACCTTTGAGTGTTTATGACATTATTAGTAAATACAGTTAGATATTCTTGGATCCTCAAATATGTAGAATTCTTCCTTAAGACCAAGCAATTATCATTCCAAGTTAAGATCGTAATTTGTTTCACACTTGGTAACATTACGAAGATCATTATATACAATGAAGAACCTTTTTTTTCTTTTTTTCTTTTTTTTTTGACAAAGAACACTGTGTTTTAGATTGTTATTTCATGTTTTATATTTATCTATAGAACAATACCTTTCTAAATAAGAGTTATAGTAGATTTTTCATTTCTTCATACACATGACCTTTGTAAAATTAATGCCGTATGTTTTTTTCTCTGTAGGTCCCTATGTGTATAGACTCTTCCAACTTTGAAGTGATTGAAGCAGGCCTCAAAGTGATTCAGGGGAAGTGCATTGTAAACTCTATCTCACTTAAGGAAGGAGAAGAGGACTTTCTTCAGAAAGCTAGAATCATAAAAAAGCATGGGGCTGCAGTGGTTATCATGGCTTTTGATGAATCAGGGCAGGTAAGCATTAAAAGAGAAGATTGTGTTTGGTGTGATAGTTGTGATAATTTATACTTTGAAATTTGGAGGTGTGTGTATCGTACAAAGGAGAGTGTAAAATCCTGTATTTGAGATGTGAACTTGCTCATTATTATCTGTAAAAAAAAAAATTCAAAAGAATGTATACTTAAAACAAATGGATGACAGTTTAATATTGTAATGATAGATTTCATACCAAATAAAGCTTATTATGCATAAAAAATACCAGCAATGATTTGAAAGTGGATTTCTCTATTCTTTCTATGTTTTCTGAGAAATACAATGCTGTCAAAGGAGGGTTAACATGAATGCTAGGGGAGACTTATTTTATTTTTGTACTTGCAGGCTGTGGATATAGAAAATAAAGTGAGTATATGCCAACGCTCCTACAAACTTTTGACAGAGAAAGTTGGATTTGACCCAAATGATATTATTTTTGACCCCAACATTCTGACTGTTGCAACTGGCATAGAGGAGCATAACATTTATGGCATCAACTTCATTAAGGCTACAGAATTAATCAAGGTAATTCTCTCTCTCTCTCTCTCTCTCTCTCTCTCTCTCTCTCTCTCTCTCTCTCTCTCTCTCTCTCTCTCTCTCTCTCTCTCTCTCTCTCTCTCTCTCTCTCTCTCTCCCTCTCTCCCTCCCCCTCCCTCCCTCCCTCCCTCCCTTCCTCCCTCCCTCCCTCCCTCCCTCCCTCCCTCCCTCCCTCCCTCCCTCCCTCCCTCCCTCCCTCCCTCCCTTCCTCCCCTCACAACTCTTACTCCCTCCAAGTTTCCTCTCTCCCTCATACATTTCTGTTCATTTTTTCAATATGTTTTTCAGTTAGCAGTCTCTGAAGGTCCATATTTTTTTTCAAATTAAGCTTCACAATTTTTAAGAGAGAGAAAAAAAAAAAAAAAAAAAAAAAAAACTTGCACCTAATGAAATAGCAATACTTCTATTTGATGTTAAAAGGATCTCCTTGTTTTCAGAGCACCTGCCCGGGTGCAAGAGTGAGTGGTGGTGTTAGCAACTTCTCCTTTTCATTCCGAGGGAAGGACACCATCCGCGAAGCAATGCACTCAGTGTTTCTCTACCATGCTATCGCAGCAGGCATGGACATGGGTATTGTAAATGCGGGTTGCCTGCCTCTCTATGATGACATCAGCAAAGAGCTCTTACAGTTGTGTGAGGTTATATTGTGGAATTTAGACCCTAATGGTACAGAAAAGTTGTTAGCCTATGCAGAAAAGTCTTCGGAACAGGCCAAAGTTGGAACAGTCACTGATGATTGGCGGACAAAATCAATTGAGGAGAGATTACAACATTCTTTAGTGAAAGGTATTGATAAGTACATTGAATTAGACACAGAGGAAGCAAGACAATGTAAGGACAAATACCCAAGGCCCCTGAATGTCATTGAAGGTCCACTCATGAGTGGAATGAGTATAGTTGGAGAATTGTTTGGTATTGGAAAAATGTTCCTTCCCCAAGTCATCAAGTCTGCCCGAGTGATGAAGAAAGCTGTTGCATACTTAATCCCATTCATGGAAGAGGAGCGTGCTGCCCAACTAGCGGACAGTGAAGAACTTTCTGATAGTGACAGGTACAATGGCACAATTGTCCTGGCTACAGTCAAGGGTGATGTCCACGACATCGGAAAGAATATTGTTGGTGTCGTTCTAGGTTGCAATAATTACCGAGTGGTTGACTTGGGAGTCATGTGTCCCTGTGACAAGATTCTGGAAGCAGTAATTGCAGAGAAAGCAGACATATTGGGATTGTCAGGGTTGATCACTCCCTCTCTTGATGAAATGATCTTTGTTGCTCGGGAGATGGAAAGATTGGGCTTGCAGGTAAGATTGAAGATGAGCACATTTTTGTAGGTATAATGAAAAAAATATGGTAGTAATACTTATATCCTGTTATCCCACGGGATTTAATTTTTGGGGAGTGTATATTCTTGAAGCAGACTGAAACACAAAGAATGTGTATTTCAGAATCTTACAGAAATTCTCATTTTACAGATACCATTACTTATTGGTGGAGCAACAACTTCAAGAGCTCACACTGCAGTCAAAATTGCACCAAGGTATAGACACCCAGTAGTGCATGTGTTAGATGCCTCCAAGAGTGTGGTTGTGGTAAGTAAGATTTGTGAAATGGATTATTCTCTGAAATATTTCGAGAAAATCAAATATTATTAGCAAAGCCAGATTACAAATTTTATTAAAATCTTAACATGTCAAAGCCTTGTGCAAGAAGACAATATGTGGATGGAAATAAGAAGATTGTGTGTGCATGTTTGCATATGGATGTATGTGTGTATACTATATAATTATATACACATTTATATTATTATGTTGTCATTTATTCTCTTTTTCTCAACAGTGTTCCTCCCTCCTGGACTCAAATAATTATGACGACTTTATAGATGACCTGAAGGAAGATTATGAAGCAATAAGAGAAGAACACTACGATGGCCTCCAGGAAAAGAAATACGTCAGTTTGGAAGAAGCACAAAAAAGGAAATTTGTCATAGATTGGAAAAATGAGTTACCACCAGGTTTGTTATCTGATTTTGAGTGGATTGCACTATCAATATGTAAATGAGACAAAACATAAAAGATTCTGTTGGTGGTTGTCATGCTTAATGTCAATTTGATGTCATAGTGGAATGGAGTAATGTTAAGGTTATTAGTTATTTCAGGTTTCATGAGTACTGTCTTGTTTCTTTTCTGCTTTGATTATTCCACTTGGCCTTGAGTTGTCTTAACAAAATGAAAGGGACGAAATAGCTTGCATATTATATTTCACACAATTGTTATAAAAAACTTTAATATCTCCAATTCTCACTCTACCTTTCTAGTCGTACCAAAGTTCTTGAACACGAAAGTCTTCAGGAACTATGATCTAAACCTCCTGACACAATACATTGACTGGAAGCCCTTCTTTGACGTCTGGCAGTTGAGGGGAAAATATCCTAACAGAGGTTACCCAAAGATTTTCAAGGATGAAACTGTAGGTGAGTACTAACTGCCCCTTTTTTAAAGTGCATCTCATTTATTTATTATTTTTTTTTTTCCAGTATTCTATTTTAGTTCTTGAATTGACAATGGGATGGACACCTATATACTAATATTTGTGTATAGGTTAGAAATATCATTTGGTAATTGTCAATGATATATGTTCTAGCAGTTTAATCACATTGTGGATATGTATGTTATTATTTTATTTCTAAGGTAGTAGTAGATACCAACTATTTACCTGCTTAGTGCTTACTGCTTGATGTCACATTTTCATGTCACCATTCACTTCTTTGTATATAATGCATTATATGTATTAAATCCTCATCATCTCTTCATATTTACTCATAAAATCTATCAGCTTCCTCTTTATGGATGGGAATCCATCAAACTGTCTTTTGCCATGTTTCTGGTTTTCTCAAAAGATTTTCTTACAATTCCTATTTAAGAAAAAGAAGAGAAAAGAGAGAGAAATCTAGATATTAAACAAAACCACATTTAGGAACTTTGTTAGCTGTTGATGTACAGATCACCATGAAATTCCCTTACAACCAATTCTCCCAAATTACAGGAGCGGAAGCAAAACGCGTATATGATGATGCACAAAAGCTTCTCAAAAACATTATAGCAGAGGGCTCCTTAGTTGCTCATGGCATTGTAGGCTTTTACCCTGCTAACAGTGTTGGAGATGACATAGAAATCTACAGTGACGAATCAAGATCGCAGGTTCTTGCAAAATTGTATGGTCTTAGACAGCAGGTAAGAAGAGCAATAATTAAGAAAGAGTATCTGCATGATTGTAAGATTTATGGCTCAATTCTTTTGGAATGTGATCTCATAATACAGAACTTTCTTTTCTGTATTTAGATAAGATTTAAGACCAAGGGGACAGTCCTGAGAGGGGGATGTTCACCAGGTTGAAATTTAGTTAAAGGAAGTTTCATACTCTTACACGCCTGATAAATTTCCATAATGAATATTCATCCATTGGCCACCAGTAGCATAACTACATGGTATATTCACTGTAGTTTATTAATTGTGTTTACACAAGTGCTTAGTCATTAGTTCTACCTAAGTAATCAGTCTTCAGATTCCTTCATCTTTATATAAGTTTAAAGTTCATTTACTGTAATTAGGGACAAAAACATCATCTATACTTACTCGCTAGTATTGATTACTCTTGGCATTGCTCAAATGAATATATATTTTAGTAAACATTTATTTATTATTCTTTTCTTTTTTTTTAGAATGATAATAAGAATTCAATGAACAAGTAAATCACAAATAAATAAACAAGACAAAAAAAGAGGGATAAAGGAAAACCAATCTTTATTTTACAATGTAATTCTTTTTATGGCAGGACAGTGTAGTGTTAGTATGTTAAAATGTTGGTAATGTTAATCATGGTAAATCAAACTACAAAATTTGTTAAGCTCAGAAAGACATGGATCATATATTAGTACAGTGTAGGGTGACATACACTAGGCAACCAGGCTGTCATCATATTATTATTATGCTAGTGTCTATGGGAGGCGGTGCTTGGCTGTATTTTGTGGTGCATTGATTAGTACTGTGTTATGTAACCTTTTGTACTGTATAATTTCTTTTTCCTTAGATTATTATCCAGTCATTCTTCAAAGTAATCTGTTTTTTTTATAAACACAGTTTATTTATTCTGTAGTTTATAAATGAATTTAGAATTTCAGATAAAAGATTCATATTGTTTATGCAGGCTTCCTACACATAGCTTAAGAATTGCTTCTGCTTATTCATCGTACGATAACACTCATTAGACTTCAATATTCTACCAAAAGTTACAAATTTATCACATGTCATCAGAATGATATAAGTAGTATTCCTTATTATCATTATTACTATTATTATTATTATTATCATTATTATTATAGCAGGGAGAGCTTTTATTTACAAAGTATCTTTAGATTTTTGAATGAACAAAAATGCATGTGAGCTATTTACCATAAAAGAAATGAATATTTCTCTACCGGATAATGGAGAACTAACTTTTCAAATGTAGTAAAAACCAATTCATTATAGCTGGTGATGGTTTTATGTTATAAAGGCTTACAAACTTTGCATACATACTAACCCCAACAATAGATAGCTAAATATATATCACACAAAAGGGTACATTCCTTCACTTATTTATTTTTCCTCCACATAGGCTGAAAAAGAAAGTCATGACCCATTTTGCT